AAGATGGCTACCTATTTAGGTCTTAAAGCAAAAATTCGTCACACTAAACAGAAAAATAAAAGCCCATTAATACAGACATAGTTAAGAAACATTTATGAAGGGGATGATGTGAGTAGAGTAGAATGATAGCAGGGGAAAACGAAGTAAAGACACAAAAAAAAAACAAAAAAAAAACGGAGAAAGTATTTGCTTGGCACCCAACATAAATTATATCCGAAATATAGAGAAGAAGGAGGAAAATTATCATTTTCAACTTTCAAAAGGTACTGGGGTGTTATATACCGAAAAAGGTCATCAATCTTTTGCAAGTTTAAGTCCAAACAAAGACCACGGACCAGATGCCATTTGGGCACATCTCTTATCTGTGCTTAAATTGGTCAAGGAGAAATTACCCAAAGTAGACGGGATTCATTTTTATTCAGATGGCCCAACTGTACAATACCGGCAGAAGAAAAACTTTTATTATTTCGCAAAACTGACGAAAGAGTTGAGTTTTCCATTTTCCACGTGGAACTTTTACGAGGCGTCACATGGTAAAGGAGCCGCTGATGGTGTAGGAGGAGCCATTAAAAGAAAATTAGACTCAATTGTCGCTTATGGTTCAAATGTTCCTGACGCTAAAACAGCTTATGAATTTTTACAAGCATCTGAAACCAAAATACAGCTTTTCTTTATACCTGAAGATGCCACGACACAACGAATCAGTAGAACTCCATTCAATTTAAAACAAATAAACCTCAAAACAGACATTGCTAGCAAAAATTTGAAAGAAAGTTCTCATGACAGAATGAAGAAATGTTCAAAGAAAAGAAAAATAAAAGACATACACCTAAAAACAAATAAGAAACTTAAAACGGAGGAGGAGAGCAGTGTAGACGAAGATATGAAGGTTTCTGTGCATGATACTTCTGATGAAGAGTATCACATTACGATGACATCTTATCAGATGATGATTATCTGGATCATATGGATTATCAATTGAAAGAACAGAAGAACGTTACAAATTTAAGAAAAATATCAGCCACAAGTAAAATAGAGAGTGAAAAATATAGAACAATCAAGCCATGAAGATAAAAAAAAATACAAAATAAAAGATGAAGACACTGTAACTGAAGATTTAATAGCTAAGCAGGTTAAAATAACACAAAACACAAAACGACCAAAAGAATACTTTTTAGGTGATCCTAGCGATAAGGTTTATTTTGAGTAGAATATTTACAAGTAGGTAGATATAACATATATATGTGTATATATATGTCAGAAATAGTGTGTAACACGATAAACCAAAATTGTGTGGGAAATAACAGGATAGTGTTAATTATTAAAAATGGTAAAAATGTGAGAGCTGATGTTCAACTTGCTCTCTTGCTTGCGCAATTTATTGTTATCAATAATAGGACAGCGTAACGCTCTATACATTCAGCATAGAGTAATTACAGTTTGACCATACTGCAGTGTGTCCCCGTCACAATTACACACCGGCGCAATGTGAAGGACACAACTACATGATTGTTGGAGCGGAAAACCTAGTGGTTGTTTTTATGGTGAGGCAGCACCACTGTCCCCATTTGACAAGGGTTCAGTCGAGCTACCGCATATTGTTTCCATTGTAATGAAAGAGATCTAAGACCACGCACTTTTAATTTTGCACTACAACTTTATTCTACACTTCCTATTATGAGACTCACAAATAATACTTGCAAAGTTTTACCAGGAAAATAGAACTACACTGACGAGCGCTGGAACTAAAAAGTGATTCTGTTCCCGCATTCATTCAATAAGGAAAACGTAATAACAACTTAGGTGTGCTCTGATTGGTCGACGATTTGATTGGTCAATACTTGACTAAACAATAACTTTTTATTGAATTAATTAGGTTACTTAAGCAATTTCAATTACCAGGATTAATAATCAAATCGACAATTATTTATTCTACGATTTAAAACAATATTTGAGTTAAAAGTTGATAATGGAATAAATAGTTGTTTTACCAGGAATTAGTGGTCAATAAAGAGATTTGTAAACCAAAAGAGTTTTAAAGAACTAGCTAGTTACATGTTATGTTTCTGATAAATTGCTCTTATTAAATTGTAGTATTAATAATTATACACCGTTGATTATTATAATCAATTAAAAGACAATGCAAAGCTTATGCTTTGTCAACCGATGATGTACTTGCTCCGACATATATATATATATATATATATATATATATATATATATATATATATATATATATATATATATATATATATATAATTATTCAAATAATGCCAAAATAATACGATATTGTAATTTTAAGTACAAATTTTGATCTCTTTGTTTTTTAAGTTGTTTTATTAAATAAATAATTCTATCTATAATCGTATTTTATTTGAAATTCAATTTTTTTTATTGCTTTATGTGCATCAAGCTTAACAACATTTCCAGTGTGTTACACAATTACAGTGTGTTATCGTGTGTTACAAGTCCTTGTGTGTTATGGTACATTTTCTGTGAGCCTCACTCATTTATATGATTGCGCAAATTTTCGCAGACGCTCACCGAGCGCTATAAAATAGTAAAGGCTAACGACTTGTTCTTAAATTGTTTGAGTAACGTCGTAAAAGCATCGTGTTTTTTTTTACCCCTACACTCGGATTTTCTCCTGTATCGTAGGGGCAGTTTACAAACATAAATTTCACAAGGACAAACATCCAGACCCGGAACAACTATTTGTCGCGACCCCCAGCGCAGCCACTCATTGTTAAGCCACTGCGCCATGGAGTCGTCAAAATTTCTAATTGTAATTCTAGATCAATGTGTCTTAAGTGTCGCAGTAGACATTATACTTTGCTACATTTTGAAAACAATGCCGCATCCACGTTGAGCAAACCTGTGAGTGACGTTTTACCTACCGGGGCCGACGCGAATGCCTTGTCTACAATGGAGTCGGATCACATCGATATCTCCCGCTTGTCATCGTCGCATGCTTGCTCGGACGACGTTATTTTGTGCTAGCTGTCTAACTTTAAAAAATTGCTCGCATTTCCATGAGGCCCTACCCTTTCTACCTTCTACCCCTTCGCCAACCAGCAGGCGACGATTGCCATCAACCCCGAGATCTGGGGTAACGACTTCCCCTGCACGAAGGACATTAAGGGCGCTGAAGGCGTACACTCACGCCATTCGATAGAGCGACGGGCGAGTTCGTTGCCATCGAACATCTACGTCTTTGGCAGGAGGAGAAACGAGACAGGCAGCTATATGATCGGGAGACTCGAAAGATAGAGGTTGACCATGAGCGTAACCAAGTGTTACGCACGTTGCTGACATAACACAAACATGGTTTAACCACTATCGTAAAGATAATACGGAGCAATTAGAACATACTTTATAGGTACGTAATTCATGACGTCTGTATTCCACGAAAGGTTAGGCAGAGTTGTACCGTACACACACATTTTGCTAATTATATAACAAGTCCTATGTAATAGGTGGCGAGCCTATTGCCGTTAACCGGACACAAAGTCAGACTCCAAGCTGCTACGGAGAAATTTAGAATGAAAAAACCGAATAACACTGCCCGACCCGGGAATCGACTACTATTGAAATTCGTCTGTAAAAACTACTTTAACATAATGTTAGAAATACTTTATTTTCAACTGCTTTAAAAAAATTAAATTTAGTACTAATTGGACCTTTTTTTAATTCAGACTCTAAGCTGCTACTGAGAAATTCCTAATGGAAAAATCCAATAACACTGCCTGACCCGGGGATCGAATCCGCAACCTCAAGCTTAGATATCGACTATTATTGAAATTCGTCCGTAAAACTAGTTTAAGATAAAGATTGTTTTCTTTAAAGATTTTTAAATTTAGTACTAATTGGATTTATTTTTAGTACGGATAGCATGTTTAGTTAATTAAAAGTTTAATATTGTCATTTGTTTAGCAGATAGTTAAGTGTATGTTAAAACCTCCTAATTAAAGCCTCACTGAAGAACCAAAAAGCCTATGTTAATATGACATTACCTGGTTATAGCAAGGATTGGATCCTTATGCTAAGTCTTGTTTTTAATTAATTTAAGTATTTAATAATAATAAATAAATAAAGGTAACTTTTTTGATTAATTTTAATTTAAATTCTAATTAATTTGTATAGGATGTAATATCAAAAATGTATTAATTAATTAGTTCATTTAAAATGTCATAATGCCTTATAGTAGTTTCTTATTGATAATGTTATTACTAAATAAGGTAAAAAAATTAAAAAAAAAAGAAAATTTAGTTCTAGTTTTTATTTTAGGTTTTGGAAATAAAAGGCTATTTTATTTTTATTTTTACTATTTTATTTTCATTATAAATGTATGTACCTAGATTCAATTATATAATTATAACATTTTGTTTTGACAATTATTTTTTATTTTAATAAGACATCCAGAATGGATGGGATGCGGGAGTGTAGATACAAAGATGATGGCTGAAAGAGTAGGAAAGGAAAGTGCCTGACCCTAGACAAGTTAGGACAAGCACAGGTGAATGATAATACCCAATAAAAATATTTTAAATGCCGTCTCAATGTAGACTGATTTATTAATTAATAAATCCCCAGCAAAAACATAAAAACTAAAAACGCAAGTCTCACAATGAAATCCTTCTAGCACAAAAAGTTGCAAGATCTAATATACAAACATTTCAAGCTAGTAAAAAACTTGTAAAAGGAATGGTCGCACCACGTTACTTTACTATTTTATTAAGTATTTTAGTAAGTTTCTGTACAACCAAGCAACAAATGAAACATTTAGATTTTTTATATGTTAGTATTTGTCTATACAACTAACAATACTTAATATTTAACAACTGGGTACAAATATTCACAGTTGAACAATTACACACGCTATAATGCTTAATTAATAAATACAGATACTTAACTACATCTACAATCTACTCGGATTAATTCACTTAGATTCTCTGTGGAGGTGCTTTGGGTAGCTTGTGTACTGTAGTCATCATTATCATTTACAGTAGCAGGATATCACTTGGAGCTGGCAAATGTACATGAACCGAGATGTTGTGTAGCACACAACATGCAAGTGTTATTTTGCTGGCAACAGTGGGATGATAATGAAGGACCCTGTCACGAAGCAAACACCTCCAACGTGTTTTCAGTAATCCGAAGCAGCGCTCAATGCATGTCCTGGCTTGCACATGACGAGTGGTGTACAATTCCTCTCGAGACCCTTGTGGAGCATTTAATATTGGAGTCATAATCCAAGGTCTTTGTGAATAACCAGAATCCCCTGAAAGCAAAAAATTATTAATGAGAAAAGATTTAAAGCATAATTACTGAAATTATACTACTCGTATACATTCAATGGCATATATATATATATATATATATATATATATATATATATATATATATTGTTCGGTAAACAAAGCCAGGGAGCAATGAAAACTCAATAGTCAATATCCCGGAACATATAGACAATTCATTCAATATAATTATTAAAACCTATATGCATTTTCAATAATGAACCATATCGTGATATAAAAATGTGTAGCGACATCTAGATTGCTGATTACAAGATACAATTATAGCATGTTGTTTACGATCTTAAACATACCGCCCACCAAGGACTACATAGTCCTTCAATTTGTATAAAAGTCGCATATTTACACTATTTGGGCAACTAAACTGAATTCACTTTGAATTTAATTAATACAAATAAAATATGAAAGAAATACCTATATGCTTTAAGCATTACATTACTATTTAAAACAAACAAAATATTATTATGCACAAACTAAAAGTTCACAAAACAAAGCAGTGCTGAATTCCCATATTCAAGAATTATTGAACATGAAACATGAAAATTTACTGATAAAAGAAGAATATAAGGTATAACATGTCTAGTTACATATATTTTAATTGAACAATATAAAATTGAACTAAACAATTTAATTTATGTTATTCAACATTATCTGTTATTGGTAAAGGACAAAGCTTCAAAGTTGGACGTTGTATTAAATAATCCTTACAACGTAATGTTACTACCCTGTAAAATTGTCCCTACCAGGATGAATTTCCACTACCTTGCCATAAAGCCATTTAAATTGTCCTCCCGTACCAGAAAAATATCACTTACTTTCAACCCCGAAGTCGTGATGTTCCATTTATGCCTTTGGAAGAAATGGATGAGATATTCAGTGGACCATCTCTTTCAAAAGGTTTGGAGCATTTGTTGTGTCAATTGCCAACGGCGTAAGTTGCCTATCGAAAGATGTTCGAAGTCATAATGAGGAGCAGTTAGCAATGGTTCACCTATTAAAAATGGAGTGGTGATAATGGAACACTGTCGTCTGGGCTTGAACTTACCACTGTTAACGGCCGGCAGTTGAGGCAGGCCTCGATTTGAGCTAGCACCGTAGCCAAAAAGTTTTATACTTTTTATCCCTGCTTCCCATAACCTTCCGAAATTGGGAGCATGAGGGGGAATAAAATGTCATTCGGTTCCGTTATTAGCTAATGAAGAAGAAATTTCATTCAAAATTGAAGACCGTTCTTTTGTAAATAACCGCTTGATTTCTCGTGATGCCCCAATAAAATTAGTTCCGTTATCGCTCCATATGTGGTTACAACGACCCTTTCGAGCAACGAAACGTTTAAAGGCAGCCAAAACTCCTTCCGCAGTAAGATCCCAAACGGCTTCGGTATGAACTGCTCTTGTGGCCATACAAATGAAGAGACTGATATATCCTTTATAGGACTAGTAGCCTCTACCTTTGGAGACATGAATATTTATCGGGCCAGCGTAGTCTACACCGGCACTCATAAATGGCTAGCCGGGTGTTACTCGACAAGCTGGCAACTGTCCCATCAACTGAGTCCGAAAAGTGGCTGCATTTCTAATACATGGAATACAGTGGTGAATGTGATTTCTGACCAAATTCTTTAATCTAGTCACCCAATACTTAGTTCTCACATAATTACAAGTCAATTGCTGTCCTCCATGCATGGTTTTCGATGTGCATCGGCAATTATAAGTTTTGCAAAATGTGATTCTCCTGCAATTATGATGGGATGTTTGCCATCATCTGGTAAGTTTGAATTTTCAATTCGTCCTCCAACTCTCAATATACCATATTTATCAATAAATGGATTAAGTGAAACGAGTTTGCTTTTCTTGTTAACATTTTGGGATTTAAAGACTTCTTTAATCTCCTCAGGGAACGAACAAAGTTAATGCTGCCGAATACAACAAGTAAGCGAATCTTGTATTCCTTTAGCTGACAGATACGGCAAAGGTTTTTTCTTTGGCGTGTTAAGATCCCTCAATCGAAGAAATCTACGACAAAACGCTGCAACCCTTACTAGCTTCCGTAATGATGAAAATTTAACGAATAAATTATCATCATTTTCATCGATAACGGAAGTGACGTGTGTTTTTATGGTTTTGTTTCAAATTTAGTACATATCGAAATTGGTTTTGCATAATCTATTGTTTTATTAAGCAACCAGCTTGGACCGCGTCTCCACTACTTGTTGTCTATAAACTTTGCCGGTTTTACTCCTCGCGAGGCGTAGTTCGTAGGATTGTACGTGGAATTAACATATGACCATTGGGATGAATCTCAAAGTTTAAGTTTTTTCCGAAGTGCGATTGGCCAACAAAAGTTTTCCATCGGCTTGGATGATCGCTCAATCATGCCAAAACTATCGTTGAGTCAGTCCAGGCATGTAAATTTGACTTATTAATATCAAGGACTCCAGCCACTTCAACGAGAAGCTTAGCACCAATACAGCTCCGCACAATTCAAGTCGAGGAATGGACACCTGTTTGATAGGAGCTACTTTAGTTTTAGCATTTATCAAATGAGTTCCAATTCTACCATCTGCAGTAATGCATCTGATATACACAACTGCAGAATATGCTACACGAGATGCATCGCTGAATCCATGTAATTCCACCAGTTTGTCACTTTTAGAACTTTGAATCCATCGCGGTACATGAAACCTAGCTACTTCACGCAATTTGTTTCTATAAGTCTGCCATTCACACAATAGCCCATTTGGTAATTTCTCATCCCATTTCTGTTCAGTTCTAAATAAACACCTTTGCAGCAATGATACATGGTAATAATAAACCAAGAGGGTCATATAAGCGGCAGACTTCAGCGATGATTTTTCTTTTAGTGTCAGGTAAGGAAGATTCAGAAGACAGCCGTACTGCGAAATCGAATTCATCACTGACGATTCCATGCAAGTCCAAGTATTTTGGTTATATCATCTTCTTTAATTTCCTTACCATTTCCTTGTCCTTCATCTTCCTTAAATGATGTAAACAATTCCTCTTTATTGCGAGACCACTTCTGTAACTTGAAACCACCTTTCTCCATTAATGGACTCATCTGCTCAAACACTGTAATTGCTTCTGTTTCAGATCGACAACCTGTCATAAGGTCATCGACATAAAAGTCTGTTTTGACTTTACCTGCAGCTAATGGATAATGATGCCCTTCATCTATAGCAACTTGCTGCAAAGCTGTAACCGCTAAGTACGGTGCGCAAGACATACCAAAAGTTACTCTCAAAAGTCTATAATCTTTTATTTCTGAAATGGGATTGTCGCGCCACTCTGGTTTTTGTTGTTCTTTTGTCCGGTCTAATTACAGCGTGGTGTGGCAACCATACTTTTTTCCCCTGACTGATGTAAATACATTGCTATTTTTTCCATGTGACCAAGTGTCACGTATTCCTTCAGCGTTTCTGCATAATCCTTTCCTTGTTCTGGGCATTTCAATAATCTTTTCTCTAAACTTAACAATCTTCTGACTGCAATTTTTCTCGTATCTCCATATGTATCTTTAATACTAAAATTAGGATAGAAAGGTAAATTAGGACGGAAAGGTAACTCTACAATGTAGCGACCATATTGGTCTCTACTTGTTGTAGCAGCAAAATATTCCTCACATTGTTGCTCTTCAGGAGTCAATATTTTCCTGTGTTCTAAATTAGGCTCTGATTCAAGCATCCAAAACCGTTTAAGCATTTCGTTATCTTCATCTACATGCATATTAAAAATTGTATTGTGACATCCAATTTCTGTATTATTACTGCTTACCCGACCCGACAATAACCATCCGAGGTGAGTTGCCTGCGCAGTTGTACAACCAGAGGTGTGTTTCATTAAACTCCTTTCCAGGATCTTACAATAAACCTCAGTGCCTAATAAGATGTCTATCCCATTAGGTGAATTGTATTGTGGATCTGTCAGAGTAATCCCCCTTAAATTTTCCCAATACGCTAGGGAAAATTTTCTTTCTGTCAAGATAGAAGTCACCTTATTTAAAACGTGAGCAACTATCTGCATTTTAAATGATAGGTCACTAAGCGACAGCATGTTTACTCTAACCACGTATTTCGAAATCAAGCTATGTCGACCTCCATCCAAACCTGATATGCAACTTCTTGCCTTAATTTTATCAAGGCGTGATAGTTGCACAGTAACTTCAGATATGAAAGGTGATTGCGATCCTTGGTCAAGCAGAGCTCTCAATAACTGATGATTACCATCTTTAGATTCAACCTTTATTAAAGCTGTGGCCAATAAGGCTTGGCTATGTGTTTGGTCTGTCACAAAATTGTTACCAATATTGCTGGTGGTCTCATTCGTCTCAAAAGACGATTCCGGTTGAATATCATCTACCTCATCATCTCGCACGCAGACTCGACGACTTCCAGCCTACCGAACAAGCCGGTTTCCGAAAAGGCTTTAGAACCATAGACCACATAAATACCCTTCGGCAAATTGTACAGAAGTCTGAAAAGTACAATCTGCTGCTTTGCCTGGCGTATGTGGACTATGAGAAAGCCTTTGATTCCGTCGAAATTTGTGCGGTGCTACAGTCTCTTCAGCGGTGCCAAGTTGACTGTCGGTATATAGAAGTGCTGAAGTATTTGTATAGTAGGACTGCGATGGCTATCCGAGTAGAGAACCAGAGTACGAAATCTATCCAACTGCAGAAAGGTGTAAGACAGGGTGACGTTATTTCCCCAAAACTCTTCACCGCTGCATTGAAAGACGTTTCTAAGCTACTATAATAGAAAGGATACGGTATTAACAGCAATGGCGAGTACATCACTCACCTTAGATATGCCGACGATAAAGTCCTTATGGCAGAATCGCTGGAGAACTTAAGCACTATGCTCAATGATCTCAATAGTGCCTCCCAACGGAAAGGTCTTAAGATGAAGATGGACAAAACAAAGATCATGTTTAATATCCATGTCACTAAAACACTAACCTCGAAGTTGTTGACGAGTACGTTTACCTGGGACAAATAGTCCGACTAGGTAATTCCAACTTCGACCGAGAGGTCAATCGACGGATTCATCTCGGCTGGGCATCGTTCGGGAAATTATGACACATCTTCTCGTCAGGTATACCTCAAAACCTGAAAACTAAGCTGTACAACCAGTGCGTGTTGCCAGTGATGAACTACGGAACCGAGACGTGGTCCTTCACTGTTGGCCGTATGAGGACGCTCAAAATCGCTCAGCGAGCGATGGAGAGGGCTATGCTCGGATTTTCTCTGCGTGATAAACTTAGAAATGACGATATCCACAGTAGAACGAGAGTGACCGACATAGACCAATGGATTAGTAAGCTGAAGTTTCAATGGGCCGGCCATATAGCTCGAAGAACCGACAACCGTTGGGAAAAAAAGGTTCTCGAGTGGCAGCCTCGTAGCAGTAGGCGAAGTGTACGGCGACCCCCCACTAGATGGAGTAATGAACCGGTAAAACATGCAAAAAGTCGATGGATGCAGGTGGCTCAGGACCGTGCTTTGTGGCATACCTTGGGGAAGGCCAATGTTCAGCAGTGGACTTGTGAAGGGCTGTAATGATGATGATGATAATAGAAATTGTAGCACCTGTGGTATTGTATGCCAAGGTTTTGATTAAATAACTTTAGTTGTGTAAATATGATTGGGATGCCACACCGCCTGATAACATTGTTCGTTCGTAGCTATGCTTTAGGAAGGAACTCTACTAAGTTAAATTAAAATATCACGTCATGTAAATATCAGTAAGGATACCATCGTCACTGTCGTTGGTTTGGCAGACGCTAGCGGGAAAGCTTACGGTGTCGTTGTATATTTCCACTACCAGAATGATGGCGAGAATTCGGTGAGCCTTATTAACTCTAAATCAAAGGTTTCTCCTCGTAAGCTTTGCGCAATTTTAGTTCTTGCCAAGCTTATCACAGCTGTTGTTAGTGCATGTAATGGTCGCATTCATATTGATAAAATATCTGCCTTTTCCGACTCAACAGTCGCTTTATGTTAGGTTTATTCCTCACCCAATCGTTGGGATACTTTCGTCGCAAATCGAGTGGCCAAGATCCAAAACGAGTTAGTATAGCAAAATTTCCCGGTGCAGAAAATCCTGCTGATAGTTTGTCACGTGGACTTACTCCGGTGCAAATTATAGATTACCCACTTTGGTTTCGAGGACCTCCTCGGATTCAGTTAGAATCATCGCAATAGCCCATAGTTGATTTTAAGCCTTCTTCAATATTACAACCTCCGGGAAAAAACACTCTCTGGTTGCGAATACTTCAAGTGAAATTTCTCCTTTCATTATTTTAGCAAGTCGTTTCTCTTCCTGGTCAAAATTATTTTGTAGCGTAATTTACGTTTTCCGATTTGTAAAGCTTTTACAGCTACGTCATTAAATCACTGCATCCGATTATGACTGTGCTGAATTATTAATATTTCTTTGCGTGATAAACTTAGAAATGAGGACATCCGCAGTAGAACCAGAGTGACCGACATAGCCCAACGGATTAGTTAGCTGAAGTGGCAATGGGCCGGCCATATAGCTCGAAGAACCGACAACCGTTGGGGAAAAAAGGTTCTCGAGTGGCAGCCTAGTACCGGTAGGTGAAGTATAGGGCGACCCCCCATTAGATGGAGTGACGACCTGGTAAAATACGCAGGAAGTCGATGAATGCAGGTGGTTCAGTACCGTGCTTTGTGGCATACCTTTCGGGAGGCTTGTGTTCAGCAGTGGAGTTGTGAAGGGCTGTAATGATGATGATGAATATTTGACCAGGATAAATAATATGTTTTGATTTTTTTAATGATTTTTTCTAAAGGTTTAATAATAGGCCAATTATAATATTTATGGCGTGATCGTCGTAGTTAGGACCCTTATTTACGTTGTGTTTGTTTAGTAACTTAGTTCTTTTAGGTGTCTTTTGGAAGAATGAATATTCACTAGAGTAATTGAAAGCAGTAGGTAGTACCTTATAAGCAAAGTGAACCCCGTTCACGAAGACAGGACTCGAAAAAGTTTAAGAAAATTAAAATGTCCCTATTCCACTTGTATCAGGTTTACATTATTGATTTATTATTAATTTTCCCTTCACGCTTGGGAAAGGCTCACAATATCTATATTTACAACATCACGTTAAGTGCGTTATCAGAATCGGCATTCAAGCGGATAGAATTTTTTTTTAAAAAACACATTAAAAAAAATAATTTTATTGAAAAAAAATTAATTTGCAAATTGTATGTGGTTTTATTATCTCTGCATTCGCCGAGGAGTAAAAACCCTGTGGTTCCCGTTAAGTGCGTTATCAGAATCGATATTCAAGCGTATAGAAATACTTTCTTTTTCAAAAAAATACATTTAAAAAAAATAATTTCAATAAAAAAAAATATTTGCAAATTTTATATGGTTATTAATATCTCTGCATTGGCCGAGAAGTAAGAGGATTGTCAAAGACCCCGCATTACCGATACTCGTGTGAGTTAGAGGAAATAAAACCACATACAATTTGAAAATTAATTTTTTTTCTTTAAAATTCTTTTTTTAAATGTGTTTTTTACTATACGATACAAGGGTTTCGCTCTCCTACATTAAAAAAAATAAACAAAAAAAATATAACATTTCTTTGTCTATTTTTTTTAAACGATGGGCGCCAGCCCACTACCGAGGAGGGGACGATAAGTTGAGAACTGGACCGTAGCCCATAGCAAAATAACTGGCTAATAAAAGAGGAAAAATAAAAGAAGGCTTGATAGTGCGTAAGCACAAACATCGACCGAAGTTGCGCATGTCAATATGTGTAAACGCCATATAGAATACGAACAAATCCAGCCATAGTAAATGTACGTCGGTTTAGGCAAATAGGCACACTGGCCATGTACCCTTTGTGAGCGCCACCACCTTCCAGACCGCCGTTCGATAAAAGTTATAATTTGCCACCAGAAAGGGTTTGTGTCAATGACGTTGAGTATATGCATTTTCGATTATGTTTGTCTCGCCCACCAACAAGGTGTCTTCAATCATTCAAAGGTGGAATGTTACAGATAGATATCATTATGTTGTTATATAAAACTTCATGGAGGTCAAACAGTCTGCAGCCTTTTTGGGTAAAGCTACTTAGGTGTGAGTCAAACCAAGATACAGAGAGCGCCATTGAGAATAGCGACCCGCCAAACAACCATCGCAGAGACGCAATGCTACAGAACGCAACAAGCAACAATACGACTATCGACGGGCTTACACCATACCAAGGTCCCCCATACATCTCAGCAGACATCACCACCCGCATACCTCCATCGACCAGAACCACAAGATTTGTCAAATCAGGCGCAGCACACCCGCAGATCCATCACAAAAGCAGTAAACATCAATGCAACCATCATACGGATGGCGCCCCCTTACAACACGCCCACATAATCCCTATTGACTTTGGTAAAAAAAATTGTATCGTTGTTAACTAAAACAACACCAACGTATAATCGGCGGACAAATATACTTCATAAAATACATAAAGCAGAGTAGGCTCAGTAATAGAATAAATAGAGGCTTTAACTTTACTTTTTGAAAAATTTGTGTCCGATTTATACCTTAATAAATTTCATTAATATATCACTGACTGACATCAGAAACTTAATCTATAAAATAGCCGTGTCTTAAAGAATAAGGAAAAAACTAACCTTTTTATAGAATCCACTCTAACTTCGACAGTGAGTGCAGCACCAGCTATACACGCTAAGTACATACCTGAAATTGAAATTAAATACGGTAAATTTGTATCTTTCTCTATTTATATTTGATCCATATATCTTCCACGGTTTACTTTATCATTAATTCCTTTCACTTTCATCCCTGAAATTTCGTTCTTAATATGTAAGGGACGTGGCATTATATATTACGGTTGTAGAACGAAAGGATAGTTCAACTGGGGAATGACGCACGCATCAAAAAACACACGCATTAATTAGCAGCTTTATGCTGCTGTATTTACCATTGCTGAATATAGGCCTCCTCATAGACTGCCATGGGGACACTTGCCATAGTTGCCATGCTTAGCTCGGGCTCGCAATCGAAGTTTTTTAATTTCTAATTGTAATTAGGAAGATGCGGCCGCCCGTCTCTATGTTTGTTACCCTCTGAGCCTTTTACTTATACCTTATATACCTAATATATAATATTATTGAACCGTCACTATACTTACCTGCTATCATTCGGATCCTCCCAGGCAGTTGAGGTGGCAAAGCATCGCCAGTATCAGCACTGAGTAAAAAGCTAGCGCCACAAAACTCCGGAATATGGGTCTCGTTTAACGCAGTTGCTGAAGCCTTGTTGTCGCCCAATGATAAAACTGGAAAACAGATGAGTAACGTAGGTAAATAAAATATTATTAAATTAAAAATAATTTCAGAAAAGTTAAAAGTTTATAATCTAAAATCTATACATATAATAATTCTGTAGAAAAGTCGTGTCTGTAATTCTAATATTCCCTGGAAAAAAATTTGAATAACGGTTGACTCTTCAGGCCATCCCTGGAAAAACGCTCGACAAATATTCTAACAAACTTATAGTTAACTCATTACGTCCAAAAACGATCCGAGCAGAAATTTCAAAGTTATCAAAAAAAAAGCTATTTTTGAAATTTTTGACAACGCTAACTTTCGAACGGATCAACCGATTCTGATTTAATTGGTGGCAATCGACGAAGTCATTTGAGAAAAAATATTAAAATTTATTATAAAAAAAGATTAGTCTATAAATTCAACAGTTATGTAAAAAAAAAAACACTGTTTTAGAAATTTTTCGTCATCGATTTTTCTTCAACGCATTCAGCAATTTTGTAGCGGTTCGCAGCAATCCACATTGTTTTCTATTTTAAGAGCTGATTAGATTTTGGAATTGAGCGTTATTTATATGTGTTTAAAATTTATTTCAAATTTTTTTTGCATAAACTTGTATGATAAGTATGATCATATTTCTCAATACAGAGCTAAGCTAAATTGGCTTACAATCCGGCAGAAGCGCAACTCCAGAATATTACTTATACTTTTTCCATATTAAATGATCCATCTTCGCCTTCTTATCTTAAGAGTAAATTTCATTATCTTTCTTCATCTCATGATAGGGTCCTACGCTCTTCTTCTAACAACAAAATCTGTACTCCAGTTCACTTCACCGAGTTCTATGGTAACTCCTTCACAGTTCAAGCTACACGCCTTCCCAATATGTACGCTTTTAGAAAGTTGGTCCGTGATCATTTATTAAAGACAACGCATATTACATGACTCATCTATTTAATATGTATTTCCAAACAGACGCATATATTCATAGTCATGTGTATATACTAATTATGTATGTATTCAAATATGTATACTTGTATGTATATCCATTTATTTATATATTTGTATATATGTAAGGATAGATCATATATGTATAGTTTATTTATTAGTAGTTTGTATATATTATGTAGTTAATTATCATTTGTATTGTATTCTCTTATTCTATATTGCCACACCTACATCAATTTCTCACCACTCCATGGGTTGACTGGTAGAGAATGCCTCAAGGCATTAAGTCCGCCCTTTGTATTCTTTTGTTTAAGGATGCAATAAAGAATAAAATAAATAAATTAATAAATATGACCTTGAACGTATACCATCTGATGATTCTGAGTATAAGATACGCAACCCTCGTTAAAACACTCACTATTTAGTAATAACAACGTGATAACGAGAGATTTGTGACATGGTCGTTCTGTCTGTGGTAGAACAAGTTGCCGGATTCGAGGATTGCTGTATCCTCCCCTTTTTTCGGACCTCAGATAATCCTATAATATCCCAGCGGAACTTGTCTATCTCATCTTTCAACTACAAGATCTTCTCGTCATTCTTTAACGTACGTGCGTTAAATGTTCTCAGGTCGAGTCGTTTTAGGTGGCAACCATACCTCCACCGGAGATTCTTAGCACCGCTGTCCCGCCATTACCATAGTTGCTACTGTAGCCAGGATCAGCGGGGTCACCGGGGCCTGGGGGCTGTTTATTTGTGTCGTTTCTCATAGGGGGCGGGTTGGCAACCGTTGTTTTTTATTGGACTATTTATATTATCAGGAAGATGCTGCTGCCCCACGGGAAGATATGGGTTAGTGGATATTCTTAACTAAAATTACACGGTACATTATTAAATTGAGAATTCATATGGAATGTCCCGATACTACTAAAAAGAGCTCTTCTCATCACTCACCATACAAAATACAGTAGCATTACTTTGTTTTCAAGGACGATATTCTGTACGAACACGGTCTTTACTCGTTCGAGCCAATCATTGTGCTGCAGCTATAAAACAACTACGGAATGGTTCTACCACGTAAATTAAAAACAACTTAAGTTTTAGTAACAAATCAAAAACAATATCATAACCATATCATAACACAAACGACTCAAAAACGTGAAAAAGAGCTTCGACGCGTGTATTTGTAAATTAAAATTATTCATAGTGATATGTTGTTTCAGCTGTTTTAAATAATTTATTCACAAATTTTGTACGGACTTTAGTTTGAGAAATAATAAAACATTTCCAAAGTCGTCTCTACTTGGATATAAAAGGTCGCATCTGTTTTATGCAGTGTTTTCAAGTTAATAGGCATAAAATTTCACGCTTAGAGTACGTTATTTTTTACCTTTGAATCTTATCGGAAATTTCAGAACAAATGTAGTTCTTTACTGCTCTGAGTCGTAAACATTATTTTTCTCTACATTTTACGCGGTTAAGCCACGCTGCAGCTATTTTATGGCTGCAGCACCGATGAGTCGGCTTGACCGGGGTAAGACCACGCACTCACAGATTACTTACAAAACGTAAAACAACTAAATAATGTTCTCCAGACCGATTTTTGGTCACGGCGGCCAGCCTTAACAGAGACTAGCCTGATTACTAACACTGATGTACAGGACAGGAATAATCCACTATAAAGTGCCCAAGTGTATGTGCAAGTATAGGTGCACTCTCTATTCCCTTACTCTCACAGTCCGATGGGACTGTAAACCGACACGACCGGATAGAGATCAGGCGCAGGACTAATGGCTGTACGTACTTTCCGAGCCACGGGGGTAAGACACCACCAACTTCCTGACAGGGCGCGGCTACTGAGGGGGAAAACTCCATAACTGAGTTTTTTTGGCCCGATACGGTATTCGAACCCAGAACTTCATGATCAGCAGTCGCATTACTACAACCACTAGAACACCTCACCATACGAAATAGCATTATTTTGCTGTTTCGTGTGGTCAGTATTGAGTGATGGATTTCGGCAGACTGTCTAACCATCGATTTAGACTTATTAATGGTAACAAGATATTTAGGTTAGATTTTTTAGATTACAAGCGACCACACATTCCATCTGATAGTAAGTGGATATTTTAGCCCATAGACATCTATATCTATTCTCGATTAATAATCAAAATGTAGATATTATAGATGTTCTCACCCCAGAGGACTAAGATGGAATGCCTCGTTTCCATTAAAAAGGGTCTCCCTTTCTTTATACTCACCCATATTTACGGTGACAGTCTGTGAGAGCGTGGTCCTTTCCCGGTCAAGTCGATCCATTCTATATGGCTTCAGCACGGCTCTACCACGTTAAAATATATTTCTATAGTATAACTGTCGCAGTAATAAGTCTTTGGGTTCAGTCATTCTCTACGACAACAGGCATCAAATGGATTGATTAATATTCCAGTATAAAATTTGCATTCGCGATTGGTATGAACGTCGAATGACAAACTTAAAAAAACCCGGCCAAGAGCGTGTCGGGCCGCACTCAGTGTAGGGTTCCGTGGTTTCCCGTCCGTCACAATAAGTGTTCCCACTTATGAGTTTAAAGGTGGGTATCCATTATGTTCGCGCTCCAGCAGCGCTCCGTGCTCCTGCAGCTGCTCCCGGTAGTGGGTACTGTTGTTTCCATCCAAGTTCAAAATGTTTTCCTAGAAAGTCCTTATAAAGTTCTAATTTTCAGATTTTTTTCATATTTTCTAAACTTATGGTTCAAAAGTTAGAGGGGAGGGGCATTGTTTTTTATTTTTTGGAGCGATTATTTCCGAAATTATCGACATTATCAAACAATGATTTTAGTAAACCCCTATTCATTTTTAAATACCTTTCCAACAATATATCACACGTTAGGGTTGAAATTAAAAAAAAAATCACTTCCCACTTTACATATAGGGGGGGCTACCCCAATAAAACATTTTTTTCCAATTTTTATTCTACCACTTTGCCGGTGTGATTGATACACATATTGGTACCAATTTCAGCTTTCTAGTGCTAACGGTCACAGAGATTAAGCGAGGACGGACAGACGGACAGACAGACATGGCGAAACTATAAGGGTTCCTAGTTGACTACGGAACCCTAAAAAGAAATGATATTTTCCTATACTTGATTCAGCTGAAAAATCATAAAAAACACTCCGAGTAAACGACTGAGCAACGCTTCGTCTGGAATGTTAGAAATGTTGCTTTGAACCTCTGCTACCTCAAATATAAGGATTATAAGTAATCAATGTGTTTACATCGTGGATAATTGATCTATAGTTAAGAATTTTAGGTTTAAATACGTTTACAGAATATGATGATGACTGTTCTTTATGCTGCGGCGCTTCAGGCTGCAGGTTCGAATCCCACAAGGAAATCTAAATACTTATTATATGTGCAATTCATTTATGTAAAATGCCCCAACGAAACAGGATAAAATTCAACGTGGAAAGCATCCCAGTGTGGAGGATACTAGTGTGTAAAATATAAATATAATATGTAACTTAGTAATTTTCGAAAGAGACTAAACTTTATGGGAGCATTCATACCATACTATATCTACATCTTGGAGTAAGGAAGCTTTGTTGTCGATGGATCCCACGTTTGCTCTCAGAAAACTAAAAACAGACTCGTGTGGATTGGTGCCATGAAATGCGTCTACTTTTTGAAAACGGGGCATCTAGGCATTTTTCAGAAATCGTAAATGGTGACGAGATATGATCGGGAAAATAAAAGGCGATAATCGGTATGGGTCTACTCAGAAGGACAGTTACCGACAAAACTGCAAAGACCTCGCAACGTCGGAAAAAAATTGGTAGATAATTTTTTTCGCCGAGCGGAACATTTGTCGACGTCAATGCTGGAAAATTGTAGGTCAGTCAACTCTGAATGGAAAAAAATGAATACAGTTACATTACCCAAAGCTTTTAAAGCTGTGTGGGAGGGAAGACTAAATATCGGGCTTCGGGGAATCATGCTGCCGTCATCACGATAACGCCTATTCACATACCTCCCTTAGAACAAAAGCATTCATTGAGGAA